GGACCCCTGTGCAGCCCCTCCTGAAGCTGCTCCCCTCTGCCTCCATCAGTGGTGCTCACACACAGTGTAAGGATGCAGGAGCTCCCAGATCCCCCTCCTTCTCCCCATGCAGCTGTCCCAGCCTCCTTCATGGACCCTGCACCCCAAACCACCGACCCTGTTGGCCCAGCCCTCAGGCAGGGAGCTTTGCTGTTCATCCTCCTGTGTCTGAGCTGGTTTTTGCCACCAGGTGAGGCTCTCCTCCGGCCCAGGGCTGGCTGCCCCTCAGGGTGACCCCTCAGCCCTGCTGGCTGTTCCCTGCTGCCTCTCTGGGTGAGCAGCAAGTGAACAGCGCTCACTTCTCCCCAGGCACCTTTTCCAAAAGTGTCTCAGAATGCTGCATTTTAGGAAAAATTCCAGTCTAATCCCTTGCATTGCATCTGCTCTGGTGGGCTGAGACAAGATGTCATTTTGCATTTTTGGATATCAGTAGAGCCAGGAAGGTTGAAAGAAGCAAGAAACTACGTTAGGCTTCTCACTTAGGAAAAGTCAAGAAATTCAAATGAAACCAGCCTACATATGGGAGTTTGAGCCTACTGTTCCTCAGATAAGTGATTCATATCTTTAAATCTTCCCCCAAACTCCACAGGCACAAAAATTAATGTAAGTGTTGGGGACTGAGGCTTCAAAAAGGAGTAAGAAATTCCTAGCAGAGCTGCCATCAGCTGGAGAAGGGATGGTGAATGGCACGTGTGTGGGCCCTCCTCTGTGCCAGGCTTCAATTAGAAGCTTGGGTGGATCATTTCGTTTTCTCATACCTCCCTTCCCCACGTATAAAATACTGGAAAGTGTTGCTCTGCCAACTCAAAGGGAGCTGTAAGGATAAATGGAATTGCCTGCAAAAAAATCTGATGTCCTTTAAATTTGCCAGCTGACAAAAATTCTGCCATCTCTGTGCATGAAACTGTGGAAAGGAGATGCTGAAGTATGTCATAGAACTGTGACCCAATAACCAACTGTTACCGCTAAGATGGCTTAATTACTTTTTTTATAAAGATAAAAAGGAAAAAAGGAGCAGAACATGACAGCCAATTGGAAATTTGGCAAAACTGACGTTTTGTTCCCATGAAATATTTGGTTTCTGAAAAGCAGAATTGTCAGACAGAAAAGTGTGCTGTTGAAAACCCACCTCTAAGACATTGCAGTGCCCATTTGAAAATGCAGCTAGCAGGGATGTGAGATGGGAACTGGACAGAAATCACCCAGGGCCTGAGTATTTGGGATATCCCTGCCATAGGGGTGAGGGAGCTCCCACAGAAAGGTGACCCCTCCATCCCTGCCTTTGTGCCACTGTCCCTGCAGGATGTCCAGGGAGAATTGCCAGAATGCATCACAGTGAGCACAGCCCCTCCTGCAGCTCCAAGGGCACAGAGGAGCTGCCTGAAATGTGGATTTTGGAGCACATTAGGTAGCCCTGGCAGGACTTTCCCCAGAACAATGTGTCCCCCATTTATTGCAGAATATAAAGACACAAACGTGCTGGGCTGGATGGAGCAGCGTTCCCAGCCTGCCAACCTGGAACCAGCAACTCTTTTAAAATGCAATCCCAGCCCAAAATGTATTTGACCCTGTGAATTGAGCCAGGCCAAACCTCTTCTCTCATTTCTCCCAGCACAAGGAAAACGGGACAAAGAGCTGGGAGGAAACTCAGGGCTGCAGGAGGGGTTTATGCACCCAGAACATGATATGGGAATTCCACAGGCTCCCAGTGAATTCAGTGCAAAATCTGAAAGGTGAATC